GTTTTTCATTTAGGATCTGAAATAATTCAACCTGGACATATGCCAAGAGCACCATTAGTCCTGAGTCCCATTTTGACAGCAGAATGCAAAACCGGAATGCAAGAAAGTGAATCAATGTACACACCACAAGATAATCAACAGAAGAAGGTTGCTCGACTAATTTATATATTCATGAAATTTTGCTAACAGATAGCAAGAATTTTAATCAAAATTTTTTTTATATTATATTTTATCATATCAGCATGAACAAACATATGGCTGTATAATTATGCTGACTTTTCCTCATGACGATTTGACAACTGCTGAGTGCATCACAAAGATATTCAGGTCTAAACAATTACGAATAGGCGTGCTTATGTTGCAAGAACAAGAGAAACATGTCTATAGTAGAGCTGAAGAATTCATAGACGATTGTTTCAATCAGGTAAATTAATTTCTCCTTCTTCTTTGATGTCTCGAGTTGAGACATAGTCTTCTAGAGAAAAGCAGTCCTATATGGACCTCGGTTTTCTCTTAATTTTGTTAAAATTGCAATTTGTATATGAAAAAGGATTGTAAGCACTTTGCCCAATCTCCAATCTGAAGAACCGAACTTTAAACATTGAAATTGAGTTTTTGAATTCTGCTAATTTTATCAATTTTTTTTACATTAAGTACTATAATTTAATCTACTTTCAGGTAGATTATGTTATACAAATACTAACAAGAGGATACATTAAAAGGATCAACAACCCTGTGAAAATGCACGAACAGATGCATAACAAATTGGATACAAAATATTTGAAGTACATATATTCCTTGTTGAGATACGAATACGTAAGAAATCAATGCTGCAACAATCGTGTGAGGTACATATAAATTGATGAGTCTCTGATAGCAAATTAGTAAATAACAAATATACGATAAATCTTTGATAAGCGTTTATGATATATCGTTTATATTTGTTTACAATTAATGTGAAAGCACACAGAATATGTATGACAAATGCCTTTGTTAATTTGTTTTTGTCTCTGTTATCAGATGTATTGTGCCTTAAAGGTGTTTATACGATTGTGCAAGCAAGTCTGCATCCCACGTTGCAAGCGTGGTTTCGTGAAAGTGATATTGACGATTTCGGAACAATATTCTGTTCTATAAATTTGATATGAAAACCGTGAGTGTTTGGATGAAAATAAAAATTTCAGCTACTTTTAATGGCTCATATCTTTTTAAAAAACCTTCTATAATCTCTATAATACCTGATATCTCTAAAATCTATAATATTGATCATTTTTTTTATAGGTATAATATTGTGTTTTAATTGTAAGTAAAATTTGGAGTAAAAACTTTATAGGCTTATAAAGTACAAGAATTTCATGAACGGCTATTATAAATTCAAATTTTTGCAAGATCTTTTTGCAGCCCATTCCTCTCATGTTAATAAAATAAACGAACATGTTGCTCATGCTTTAACTTATTTTCCAAATAATTCGTATTGCAATTATTTAAATACATATCTTTCCTGGACAAAAACCCAAGTACTCACTTCTTTATTAAGTAGTCTCCATTAGATCCTGTTACCTCTTTGTAATCCTCCGGTTTTATTTTAGCCATATTATTACGATGAATCCTCACAGCTGCGCTACTTTCCTCCACGGGCATTATTTCACCATCAACAGTGGCAAATTCATACTTGGTGGAATTGAACAAAAATGCGTCTGAACTCAGCAAATCATGTTTGGAGGCAAGATCGAACACCACGTTTCCAGATCCTCCATGGATCCATTGAGCGCCGAGATCCACCACATTATCACCTGGAAATATTGAAGTACTCAGATTACAAATTTTCTTTAATATCAAAGGTTAAAAAATTGCAAAACTATATTGATATCAAAGACAACATGCAGAGCTAAACTGATTCAAAGTCAATTAGGAAGATTATTATTTACCAAAGTTTTTGGTATTTATTCTGCCACCAATTCTATCGTTGGCCTCTAGTATCACAAAGTCGCTCACTCCTCTTTTCAACAGCCTGGAGGCAGCCGCAATGCCAGATGCCCCAGCTCCAACAATCACAATTTTTGTCTCCTTCGGCATATCGCAAGCCCCTGACGATTGCGCTGAACCCAACAGATTTACTGCACTGTTGAAGAAATGTCTCTGTATTGTATTGTCAGGAACAAACGTGAATAATGATCTTAAATAAACTTGAATTAGCTCAAGCAGATAACGCATCAGATTAGTCAAATCACTGGTTAAGAAAGATCAGTGTTATCTCAACCAGGAACAAAGCACATTGGCAATTTGCAATCTTCTCAAATAGCTCCTATAAAATAAGACACACGAAATTTTATCTTTACAGATTATTGTAAGAAAGTTAAAAAGGAGAAAAAGAAAAATTATTTTGTTCCTTCTCATGTGTTTGTTTATATTTTTCTAATTTAACTCCGGCGTTTGGGCTTCGCGTAATCTTATTATCTATCACTTCGCACACACCTGATTAATTTTAAAAAAGTTAGAGCATATACGGACAACAAGAGCATACATACATACACACATACATACATACATACACACGTACATTTTGTACAAAAGTGATTTTTCAACGTTTTAGAACATTCTAAACACTTTGCCAAAAATACTTTAAAAAAAATTTTTTTCACGAAAACAAAGCTTTCTCTATGAGGAAGCAATAATATAGTTCATAGTTCGCATAAACTTGCAACGTTATAATTACGTAAGCGCTAAATACTTCGGTGTTGAGAAGTCGAAAAGTCACACTTAAAAATTCTAATGCTAGTATGCACAGTTAAATATTAGGTAAGAGATAAAAAATAAAAATTAATTATGGATACATACATCAAAGTTGTGAAGAGAAGGCCTGTGATTTCCTTATGACAAATCATGTTGTAAGGCTGCAGTTAATACAAAACAGTCGGACAGATATCGGACTAATAAATACGGGAAAACGTGTTCGTATATATAAAACAGTGAGGAAAAGAGGGGAAGTGAAAGTAAATGGGGAATAAATGAAGCTAATAGGATGGAAACAAATTCAAGGTCGGAAGGTAATCCTCGGATAACAGTT